AGGGCACAGAACCATTGCCATGGGAGCTGGTCTGTATTTTTGGAACATGGCATTAGTCTTTTTTTCTGAAGAAAAGCTAATAACTGAATAAAATCTTCAGTGTGAGTGCTGAAAATATCATTATTGGCTTTCTTAAAGAGGTTCTAGGATTTTCCTACAGAATTTTTCATGCCTTGAATATTCAAAGTGAGTTCTTTAGGTTTTTGCTTCTTGAGAAGCAGTTGTAGGACTGGCTTTTTATACCATCCATATACTCCTTGGCTGAAGCTGGATGTCATATTTAACTGAATTAAAGAGTTGTTCATTGTTTGAGGCACGTTTTTCAGTTGAACTGTAAAGCTGTAATACATTACAGCAGAGTATTTACAGAGCTTACCAACTCCCCTTCCAAATGTAGCAGATGTAAAAACTACCCTGTCATTTTCATAGAGAGTTTGTGGTAGGTAGAGAGGAGGAAAAGGAAGCTCATAAGTAAAACTTACAAAATAAAACAGAATTCTTCATCTGGGAGGAAATATTCCTTTCTTCTAGGTGTTTTAAGTGGTAAGGTTTATACTTGGTTCAGGACAGCAGCTCTGTGAGCATTAAACTTATTAAACTTACTCAACACAAAGTCTTTAGGTGGCATTCCACTCTGGAGCACATCAGCACTGAAGGTGGGCAGCTGAGGGAGCTGGTAACTGCTACAGGGACTGGTTACCTTGGCATTTTTTGAAGCTGAGTTTTGGCTGCTCTTCCAGTGCTCCCCTCTCACATCAGAGCATGGGCAGGAGGAGGTGCTGCAGGTCAGTGGACACCCAGAGCTGGAGGTTTTGTGTCTATTTTCTGTGTGTTTCCTAGGAACTGAACTGCTCCTACAGTGAGATGTCAGCCCAGGACCCTGAGCAGGTGCTCCGAGCCATCCTCTCCTCCCATCAGGCAGAGAGATGCAGGAAGGCTCAGGCCTTCATCACCACCCAGGGGCTCCAGCCCCAAACTGTGGCAGAGCTCGTGGCTGAAGAAATCCTGCAGGAGTTGTTGACATCTGCAGAAGGGAAAGGTAATAAAGAGGCTTTGTTTGAGGCATTTTCAGTTTGTGAGGGCTGTGTTTGTGTGTCTGAGCAGCAGTCTTTGCTCTTGAGATACCTGAGTGCTAATTATAGTCAGTAGTGTTTGGGCAGCTCTGGTGTAAGGTTTGTAAACCTTGTGCACTTTAGATAAGGTTTTTATAGCAGTGTTTGGTTTTGGTTATTTTTGTGTCCAGTGTGGTGTTGCAGTAGTTCAGGTTTTCTTTCTTACAGACATAAATTATAACAGTTTTTTTAAAAGGGTTTTCTGGGGTTCTTAATTTTTGCAGTCTCACATCATCTGACTCAGACTCATGTTCATTTCTTGCTGTAAAGCATGAGAAGATTTTCACTTTTTTCCTTCCCTTCATGCTTTGTGGAATGAGGGATGTGCCTTAAAGCAGCAGGAATTGTGGGGCACTTCTCTGTTTGAGTCACTTCTGCTTTGCCACAACCTTAACAACAAAGTTCTGTGGGAAACAGTGAGAAAACAGGTGGAGACCTGTGAGTCCAGGTGTGCTCCCCTCTGCTCCTGCTGCCTTCCACCCTCCCACCCTCACTCTTGCTGCTCTCCTTGTGGCACCTCACTGGGTGAGCTCAGGTGAGTTGGTGCATCTCATTCAGAACAGTCAGCTTACTAACCCAGATGAAACCAGATCCAGAAAAGAAGAGTTTCCTGATGAGTTCACAAGTGGAACTGGTTCATGGGAGAATATCAGTTATACTCAGATACACTGCAAGGGCTGAGTTAGCTCTTTTTTGTTCAGCAGCAGCTGCCTGCTGGGATAGTGAAATGATGGGTGTCATTACATCAGCAATGTGG